TATTTCATTTTTCCTACAAAAATGAACTTTTATTTTTCTTGCTTCCTTTTATCAATTTCCGGTTAAAATTGGTTGGCACGCTCGGTACCCTTTCACCAATATCTCCAAAGAGATTTTTTGGCGCGAACATCTCTTTTTGGCACGCCCAGTGGGACAACAAGGATTTAGATCTCATCTTGGTGCTGTTGAAAAGGTTTTTATTTTCTTGTTCTTTTTCATTTTGGCGTTATTTTCCTTTACTTTTTCTTCCCTTTCTTTTTTCGTTTTCTTTGTTTTATTTGCTGCACTTGCTATGTCGGACAAGGAAACAAATGGGAAGACGCCGCAGGATCCATCTAACCACGCCATGGACCTCCTTGAGGGCCAAGGCTCGGGTGGAAAGAATGGTGAGGCCGACCCTCTCTTGGTGCAGCCAACTCCGTACAACACTATTCTTGAGTTATGGCTTGCTATTCGTGCTTTGACGCAGGCCATCGAGAAAATGGATGCTAATGCCGACAGGGTAGCACTAGAATTGGCCCAAACGAAGGCCGAATCTCGACGAAGCTCCCAAAATTTTGCTAATTTGAACGCAGCACTTGGGGGGCAAAACCAACACTTGGTGCTGGTGCGACAACAAGAAGAGTTGCCCGCACCACCTCTCCATCATGGTGTGAATAATGAAATTCCATTGAATGGTGTGAATAATGCCATCAACAATGGTGTGGATAACCAAAATCTTCCACCCATGAGGAATGGTGCTGTTCAAAATGATCTTGGTGCGGAAAATGCTCCTCCACGCCAAATCAACCCTATTTTGCCTCCGAATGAAGTGATTGCTGACAATCATGGTGAAATGAATCAAGTTGAGGCAAGAAATGTTGCTTATGTGCCACCCCATGCTAGGGTGAATGGCGCCAGCAACAGTGGTGCAAACAACCATGGTGTGAACAATCATGTTGTGCAGAATAGAAATGGTGCAAGGAATGGCAATGGTGCACACCACCAGGCCGCACATCACTAAACCAAATCTCTTTGACATAAAAAGAATTGGCATAGTAGCTTGGAACAAATCTCTTTCTCATGAAACTCTTCAATGCCAACCAAGTATCAATAGGTCTTTCCTCCTTGATTGCACCAATTGATTCCACCAATTCAAAGCATTCTCCGAAAACTCAAGGGTAGCAATTTATACCTTCTTGGATTCGGCATGGGGGTGATAGTCAAAGTACATGTCAAATTTTAACTCCCACTCCAAGTAATCCGATGGTGACCGTCTCCCATTGAATTTAGGGATTTTGTACTTGATGTTGTCTTTAGACTCTTCTCTTTCAACTCCCCTCGTAGGTTGCAAATTCTCATTATAAGCTTGACTCCCAAGCTCTTGTTGCCTCAATCTCTCCATAGGATCTATTCTAGGGACAACTTGTCTTAGTGGTGGAGGTTGAACTCTTTCATTGTTGTGTGCGGCATTGGCCCCTTGTTGAGCTTGTTGATTTTGGCCATGTTTAATTTGTTGAATATCATTGGATAGTGCATCCGTGCGTTGCATTAGGGCTTGCAACATAGTAGCCAAATCGGCTTGATTTTGTTCTCCTTGTTGGCCCTCCATGGTACCTACAAAAGAACAAAGACTAGTAGTAAAAATTTCTCACAAGTGTGTGTGTGTATACCTTGATTGTGCTCTCGTGTTTGCACTCAACCTATGGATTGGCGGTCCACTACTTTCTTGATGATCTCACAAGATTATGCCTTTTTCTAGCTTCAATAGGCCTAATAAGAGCAACTCCTAGAGAACTCCTTTATTCTCGTGACCTACTTGAGGAACAAACAATTAGTTGCAAAATTTTTTGAATCAAAGGAAAGTGACCTCAATCCAAACCAAACTACTTATGCAGGCTCCTTATGTCGAATTCCTTCTCCAAACTTTCTGCACAAAACTCAATTCAAACACAATTCAACAATTCAATTCCATTAGAAAACCCTAGTACCACTTGAATCCAATTTTGTACCACTTATCTCCAATAGGGTTTCGACCTGAAATTCTTCAAATTAAACTTCAATTCACAGCAAAAGCAACCCAAGAATCTCAATCACACAATCAATTAGGGTTCATTGCAACCAATTGAATCAATTGCACAAGATAAACCCTAATCCCCAAATTCCCAAAACTAAAACCCTAGTTCCTGCAAAAAGTCGATAACACCACCAATTTTTTTTTATTTATTTCAATATTTTCCCCAGAAAGATCACACTAAAAGAAGTCTATTGCTCAAATTTTAAAGCTTTCTGAGCTAAAACGAATCCAGAACAAAAATCACAAGTTTCTAGTCGAAATTTTTTTTATATTTTTTTGATATTTTTTGATATAACTACTAGTTATAAGGACTCTAAATCTGAAATTTCAAGTCGATTGGAGTTAAGATGAATCAGCAATGATTTTTCAAAGTTTATGATTTTTTTTATTTTTCAAGAAGATGAATGAGATGGATGAAAAACTTGATGATAGATGAATAGAAGGATAGATTTACCGATTGAAGATGACAACCTATGCTTTGATTACCAATTGATACGAATCTAGTTGTGTTAGATTCAAATCTACCCTTTGAATAGCCACCAAAGTCGACTTGAACTACTATCACTCCTTGATGAGTAAAATCGATGATCTTCACAAAGCTTACTTCTTCTTTCGTCGACCCTAAGTCTCCAATTAGACCTACAATTGAACACCTAAGATCATAAGATTCACAAACAATTAAGCAATCACAACCTAATTGTTTGCTAGGACTCTACAAGATTGAAGAACCCTAAGTTTGCTCAAACTAGAACAATGAAGCTAAGATAATCAATTTGGGTGTAAAACCTCAACTTTATTAATCAACTCAACTTATGTTTACAAGAGGGGGATGGACCCTTTATATAGGAAGGATCGACGCATATACCCCCTTAAACCTCCTTATGGACGGTTTACATATAAAGGAAGTTTCAAGAAAATAGCCTACTTCTTGTCTTACTAGGAAAAGTAAATACATAACTAAATTAAGCAAGGATTGGACTTAGTCAAACAAGGCCCAACCCAATGTCTTCTAAACTAATTAAATAGCTAAACTAAGATAGAATTAAGGCCCATATGGCCGAATTACACAATGCAAGCTTTAGGGTTCAACGATTTCAAGTAAAGTGCAAAGCTTGGAATCGTTGGGAATATTCTTGATGATGCCAACTTCAATGCTTCCCAATTGATCTTCAATGGACTTCAAGCCTTCAAGATGAGTTCGAACAAGACCCATGAGTGCATCCTTGAATCTCTTAGCTATTGCTCTTGTCATCGGACCTAAAGCTATCTTCAAAGTATCAAATGGCATCTTAATGGCATCTCCATGACCTAATGGCATCTTTGGTGTGATTCCATTAGCATCTTCATGATTAATTGCAATTCCATCCTCTCCTTTAAGCTTGTCCATGCTTGCACTCCTTGATCATCCCCTCCATGATCTCCATTGTGTTCTTCATGTCTATGATAAGCCCTTGGCGCATCATCCCCTCTCCCTTGAAAAGGATTTGTCCTCAAATATGCATCACTATCAAACAAGGATAAGTCTGAAACATTAAAAGTAGCACTTACATTGCCATATTCACTAGGAAGATCTAGCTTGTAGGCATTGTTGTTGATCCTCTCCAAAACTTGGAATGGACCATCTCCACGAGGTGCGAGTGATCACCCTCCGAGAAGAAGAAGCCCCATCGACAGAGGCATGGGAAGTTGAAGATTCGAAGAGGGTAATCTTCCCAAATAAGCTACCTTTCTAGAAGAATTTTGTCATTGATACGAATCTAGTTGTGTTAGATTCAAATCTACCCTTTGAATAGCCACCAAAGTCGACTTGAACTACTATCACTCCTTGATGAGTAAAATCGATGATCTTCACAAAGCTTACTTCTTCTTTCGTCGGCCCTAAGTCTCCAATTAGACCTGCAATTGAACACCTAAGATCACAAAATTCACAAAAAATTAAGCAATCACAACCTAATTGTTTGCTAGGACTCTACAAGATTGAAGAACCCTAAGTTTGCTCAAACTAGAACAATGAAGCTAAGATAATCAATTTGGGTGTAAAACCTCAACTTTATTAATCAACTCAACTAATGTTTACAAGAGGGGGGTGGACCCTTTATATAGGAAGGGTTGACGCATAAAGGAAAGATCAAGGAAATAGCCTTCTCCTTGTTCTACTAGGAAAAGTAAATACATAACTAAATTAAGCAAGGATTGGACTTAATCAAACAAGACCCAATCCAATGTCTTCTAAACTAATTAAATAGCTAAACTAAGATAGAACTAAGGCCCATATGGCCGAATTACACAATGCAAGCTCTAGGGTTCAACGATTTCAAGTAAAGTTCAAAGCTTGGAATCGTTGGGAATTTTTTTGATGATGTCGACTTCAATGCTTCCCAATTGATCTTCAATGGACTTCAAGCCTTCAAAATGAGTTCGAACAAGGCCCATGAGTGCATCCTTGAATCTCTTAGCTCTTGCTCTTGTCAACGGACCTAAAGGCATCTTCAAAGGATCAAATGGCATCTTAATGGAATCTCCATGACCTAATGGCATCTTTGGTGCGAATCCATTGGTATCTTCACGATGAATTGCGATTCCATCCTCTCTTTTAAGCTTGTCCATGCTTCCTTGCACTCCTTGATCATCCCCTCCATGATCTCCATTGTGTTCTTCATGTCCATGGTAAGCCCTTGGCGCATCAGTCATGCCCAAGGATGTGAAACAAACGAGCGTTATCGCTCGGTTTTACACAGAGCTCGAAACATTCCAGCAAGTCTACAATGTGGTTCTGATGCCTCACTTTCATCGCAATCCCATTCGGATAAGGGGCAATGAAGTTCTTAGTGCCTCCAATGTACAATGGGTCTCTGACGCTAACATTTTATCAATGTTAAAAATCTTCGTTTGGAATTGCCGTAGTGCGGCCAACCCTAAGTTTCACAGAGTTTTTCGTGACCTTATGCACACTCACAACCCCATGGTAGTTTTCATTCTGGAAACCAAGATCTCTGGTCAAACAGCAGCCAATGTTGCTACCTCACTTGGATTCGACAATGTCCATATTGTGGACTCTAAAGGTCTGGCTGGAGGCATGTGGTACTTATCAAATTCCAATGAGGTCAAGGTGGATATCATGCCCCATGGAGACCAAGCCATCCATGCCATGATTGAGGAACGCAATAATCCTACCTTTAATTTTTTGTGGTTTATTACGGGCATTTATGGTAGCCCCATTTTACAGAAAAGAAAACTGCTTTGGAATGAGCTTAGACATGTTAGTGAATCTGTTAATGGTCCTTGGACTACAATGGGAGACTTTAATGATATCCTTAGCTCTGATGAAAAATTTGGTGGTAGACCCCCAAATAGTTATAGAACCAAACTTTATAAAGACTGCATGGATGATTGTGGGATGATCGATCTTGGTTTTTCTGGTCCAAAATTTACTTGGGTTAGTTACCATTATGATGGTGTGCTCATTAGAGAGAGACTTGATAGAATTTGGGTTAATGCTAGTTGGTGCTCTAGATTTCCTTCTGCTAGTGTTCAACATCTCGTCCGTGTTCATTCCGATCACAATCCTTTGCTTCTCCATCTTATAGTTGAACCCATCAACCTTTCTAACTGCCCCTTTCGTTTCGAGTGGTGTTGGTTTAATCACCTGGACTTCCTTCAGTTTGTCCATAATACCTGGAATGATAGTAACCTTGGTCTCTCAGACAGAATTAAAGTTTTTGTTGTTGCTGTCAAACACTGGAACTCTTTAGTTTTTGGTAATGTGTTTATCAAGAAGAGAAAACTGGTTGTTAGACTCAATGGTATTCAAAAAGCCCTCTATTCTCACCATAGTGACTCTCTTATCAAGCTTGAAAAACAGTTAACCATGGAGTATAATGCTATTCTCAAGGATGAAGAGGAAATCTGGAAAATGAAATCAAGGGTCGATTGGATTCTTGATGGCGACAGAAATACCAGTTTCTTCCATATTTCCACCATCATTAGAAGAAAAAGGAATAAGATTTCCAGCCTTAAAGATGCGATGGAGAATTGGATTCTCGATGATTAAAGTCTTCAAAATCACATTGTGAACCACTTCAAGCCTCTTCACCACTTCTCTCTACTCCTCTGATCTTGGGAACTCCCTCACTGCCAACAGAAGGATCACCATTAGCGATGAGCTGCACTCAGATCTCCGTAAAATCTCTTCTCGTGGTGAAGTTCATAAAGCCCTTTTCTCAATGAAGCCTCGTAAATCTCCCGGCCCCGATGGTTTACACCTTGGCTTCTTCCAAAAATGCGGGAAATCTGTTGCTCCTTCTTTTTGGAATGACATCTTTAAAGCTTTCTCCGACAAAGCTATACCCACTGATTGGAGTGAGAGTCTGATTGCTTTGATTCCCAAAACCTTGAATCCTGAAACTATCACTCAATTCAGGCCAATTGAGCTATGTAACACCTCTTACAAACTTGTTACAAAGATCCTGGTGAATAGAATTCGATCACTTCTTCAAGATCTCATCAGTCTGAACCAAGCCAGCTTTATACCTAGGAGAAAGGGCACTGACAATGTCATTCTTGTTCAAGAAATGGTTCCTTCCTTCTCCAAGCAAAGTGGAAAAATAGGTAACATGCTCATCAAGCTTGGTCTTGATAAGGCTTACGATAAATTAGAATTGAGCTTCATTAGACAAGTCCTCATCTTTTTTAACTTCCCTGAGGATATTATCAACCTCATCATGTCTTGTATTGCTTCTGCCACCATGTCTATTATTATTAATGGATCCAGAACTGATACTTTTTTCCAACCAGAGGAATTCGTCAAGGGGACCCTTTGTCCCCTTACATCTTTATCCTTTGCGTTCAGTACCTCTCCATAATGATTAATGACAAGATGGAAGCTAGGGAATGGACCTCCTTTAAGACTTTGAGAAATGGTCAAATTCTCACTCATTTATTCTTCGCCGACGACCTCCTTCTGTTTGCCAAGGCTACTCCTCAAAACTGCATGGTCATCAAGGAAGTTCTGGACCAGTTCTGCAACCTCTCTGGCCAACAAGTTAATGAAGCCAAATCAAAAATTTTGTTCTCCAAAAATACTTAGACTTATGTTGCCAATGCTATCTGTGATAATTTGGGGATTGAAAGAGTTCACAATATTGGTAAATACCTGGGCTTCCCTATCTCACATAAGATTTCTTCAAAAGCTGATTATCAATTTCCGGTGGAGAAAATTAATCAGAAGCTCTCGGGGTGGAAGGCGAGACTTCTTTCCCCTGCTACCAAAACCATCCTTATTAATTCTTCTATCACTGCTACAGCTGGTTACTACATGCAAGTTGTTGCTCTTCCTGTGTCTACTCTTAATGAAATCGACAGAGCTTCTAGGAACTTTCTCTGGGGTAGTAGCATTGAGCATAGGAAACTCCACCTTTTTAACTGGGATATTGATGCGCCCAAGGCTTATCATGGAAGGAATGATACGCCAAGGACTTATCATGGACTTGAAGACAAGCATGGAGAGCATGGAAAGGATGTGCAAGGGCTGCAAGGAAACATGAAGATGCATGGAGACCATAGAGATATCGATAATCATGTTCCAAGCACTAAAAAGATGCCATTCGATCCATTGAAGATGCCTATTGGCCCGATGACTAGAACAAGAGCTAAGAGATTCAAGGATGCACTCATGGGCCTTGTTCGAACTCATCTTGAAGACTTGAAGACCATTGAAGTTCATTTGAAGAGCTTTGATGATGATTTGAGCAAGAAAACACCAACAAATTACAAGTTCATCACTTTGCTTGCTATTGATTCTAGATGACCGGATTGACATCATGGCATGAGCCCATTATCATTAGTTATCTTTGTTTGGGCTTAATTATATCTTAAATTAGCTTATTTTTAAGTTTGGACCTTATTTGGATTGGGCCTTGGTTGACTAAGTCCAATCCTTGTTTAATTATGTCTTTATTTCTGCTTCCTTTATGTAATGTTTTCCTTTTAGCTTTAGGAGAAGGGTTATGCTTTCCCTATATAAAGGGACCATTCCCCTCTTGTAAACATAAGTCAAGTTAATCAATAAAGTTGAGAGGTTTATACCCATATCGATTTCTTTGGCTTCATTGTTCTAGTTTGAGCAAACTTAGGGTTCTTCATCTTGTAGAGTCCTAGCAAGCAATTAGGTTGAGATAACTTAGTTGTTTGTGAATCTTGTGATCTTGAGAATTCAATTGCAGGTCTAATTGAGTGCTTAAGACCGACGAAAGAGGAGGGATAGCTTTGTGAAGGTCATCGACATACAAGTCTAGGAGTTGAAGAAGTTCAAGTCGACTTTGGTGGATATTCAAAGGTGGATTTGAATCTAATACAACTAGATTCGTATCAATAAAAAAAAACTTTCGTAGAACTAGCATGCTTTTCAACTAAATCGCAATTTACATCTAACTTAGCATGTTTATTCTTTTCTTTAGTCCTAAAATCAGATTCCATCTTAGCAAATTCCTCTTTCAATTTCAATTGATCTTTTAAAGCTTCTTGAGGTGATAAAGGAATCAAGGTAATAGGACGCTTACCACACATAAAGGAATACTTATTTGTTTCACCATCATGATGGACCTTGTTGTCATATTGCCATGGACGACCAAGTAGAATATGACATGCTTGCATTGGTAGTACATCACATAGCACCTCACCATTGTACCTGCCCAAAGAAAGAGAAACTAAAACTTGCTTGTTAACTTTAATCTCCTCTCTATCATTGAACCATCCTAAACTATAGGGTTTAGGGTGTTTAGTGGTGGATAACGCAAGCTCCTTCATCAAATACATACTAGCTATATTTGTGCAACTTCCTCCATCAATGATTCCACTACTAGGCTTTCCATTCGGATACATCCTAGTATGAAACAAATTCTCCCTTTGATTTTGTACATCTCCTTTAACATAGGCACTCAAAGTTCTCCTTGCAACTAAATTCAAGAGCGCCAGTGTTAAGCCATCACTATCATCATCTTCGGTTTGTACCTCTACTTCATCATCTCCATCTCCACTTGATCCAAGTGCAATATACTCATCTTCACTTACGATTTCACCATTGTCATTAGTAAGCATGACCTTCTTGTTAACGCAATCCCTTGCAAAGTGTCCAAATCCTTGACACTTGAAACACTTTACATAATTCTTAGAAGATGAACTCGATGAAGATTTAGAATCGGATTTAGGGGTAGTACCTTTTTGCGCCACTAACTCCTTTTCTTTTGAGGACTTATCATCCTTCTTGATTGGAGTTTTCCATGAGCTTGATGATGATGAAAAGCTCTTCTTATTCCTCTTTACTTGACTCTCGGCCTTCAAAGCATGTTGAAGCAATTCCTCAACATCATAGTGTTGTTGCATCTCCACAATGTCATGAATTTCTCTATTCAATCCCGCCAAGAATCTAGCTATAGTAGCTTGTGGAGCTTCATCGATCTCGGCCCTTGACATCAACAACATCATCTCGGAGTAGTATTCATCAACACTCCTAGTTCCTTGCCTCAAAGATTGCAACTCTTGGTAGAGACCATTAGTGTAAAAGCTTGGAACAAACCTCTTCCTCATATAACTCTTTAGACCTAACCAAGTATTGATCGGCCTTTCCAAGTTTCTTCTTCTTGTTTGCACCAATTGATTCCACCAATTCAAAGCATTCTCCGTGAATTCAAGAGTAGCAATTTGTACCTTCTTTTGCTCGGCATGAGAATAGTAATCAAAATACATATCCAATTTCGACTCCCACTCCAAGTAATCGGATGGAGACCCTCTCCCATTGAATTTAGGGATTTTGTATTTCGATGTTGTCCTTAGACTCCTCTCTTTCTATTCCTCTCCTAGGCCGCATGCTTTCATTGTGAGCTTGTCCACCAAGTTCTTGTTGCCTTAGTC